CTGCGGGCTGCTGTGCTGGCACGCTCTGATCCGTCTGGCTCATCTGCATCAAGTTGTGCAACTGTCGCTCCTGCGTGTCTTCTCGATTGGTGACTCCCGCAGCTCCCGAAACGTACTGCTGCCAATTGACCGATGGAGTGTAGTATCCAGTTGAGGATTCTGCTTCAGGCTCGACGTGATGGCAGAAATGTTGCTGCATCATATACATCGTGCAGGGAGCTGGTGATTGATCGCGTGCTGTAGGCGCTGCTGCTGCTGCTGGTTGAAAATGGTGTTGAAGCTTGGTGCAGCGGCGTCTAGGGTGTTCGTCGCTTCCACATTCATGGCGCTTCCATCGTCTCGCCCGTAATCGGGCCCTTACGATTATCAGGGGTCGTGTATCTCGACCTTTGCCATTCCCTTTGAAGAACGCCCAAGTGTCATCATAATCGATCGGGAAGTGTCTGCTCTGCCCCGTCTATCTCCAACCTGTCGCTTATACTGGCATCGTCCTTTGTTTGTTCCCCTGGGTGTCGATCGTAATGGCGCCTGATAAATTTGCGAAGCTTCGTCGCCCTGCGCGCGTGCGATCGATACTTCTTCTTGAAACCAGGGAAGATCTCACATAACACTGTCGTGATGTTCGCCCTGTTGGCTGGAACACCTGGAGGCAATAACAGAGCTGCGAACGATTCGATGGCTTCGTCTGTGCATTCAGGGCCCACGTGATAGTCATCTTCTGACTCTGCGTCGCTGTCGCCGAAGAAATCCCCACATGCAACTCCGCCACCATCATCGTCATGCGGCTGCTGGTATTGAAGCCGATTCGTCTGACATGCTGTCGACGATGCTGCTGCGCCTGGAACGGATGGAGCTGATCCCATGCAAGCACAGCCATCTCCAAATGCTGCCATGGGTGCTTGTCGAACGTCGCCGACGTAACTCAAGTGTGCTTGCTGCCCAGGGCGGTTGCTATGAGCCGCAAACCCATGAGGATGAGGTTCCAAGATGTGTGCTTGCTGTCTGATGTGCCCCTTGAGAATCAGAAAGTGGTCGCCTGTCATCGGTAGCTGTCCGTTCAAGGGCATCACAGATCCATGCCGAGCCTTGAGGTCCCAGAGCAAAGTTGCAGCAGGTTCGTGGCTCTGTAAACCGTGACGTCGAACCTCGCAAGAGCCTGGTCTCTGGTCTCGCCGTGAACACGCGTGAACCCAAGAAGCTGAGACAACAATATGATACCCTGCTCTTCGTCAAGTTCTCCGAATCGCCGTAGAAAGTTCCTAAGCAATCTCGTGATGCCTGTGATCTGTGCCGTCTGATTCTGAGATGGATCCCATTTTTTCCGTCCGTTCTGTAGTTCCTGAACATTCATCTCACGTCCAAGAACTCGAGCCATGCCACCAAGCTGGAGTACTGCTGCTGGCCCCTGTCTGTTGACTAGTACTTCTGTTGTCTCTGGCCAGAATATGAAATCTTGTGCGTGGACGCACAATGGATAATATTTCTCATGTTCTGGGCTCCAGCCTGGTGGCGACTTAGAGTTAGCCATGGATTGCCCATCGTGTTACCAGGGGTAAATCCCCGTTGGGACTGTTGATGCTGCGCGGGTGGATGCCCCGCGCCCTTGCCGCCGAGCGCTGTCAAGTCGCTGAGACAACACAACTCATAATTTCAGTGATATCGACCTGGCCTTGTCGAAGCTGCTCGTTTCGCACCCAGCTGATGGCGATGTCGGGGCCGATGAGCTCGCTGGGCCTGGCGGCGGCGGGAGGGGGCAAAGATGCTCCGCCATCGCCCGCAGTGGCGCGTGAGTAGATGAATTCCTCCCGGGCGCGGGCGTGCATGGACGTGCAGGAGTCCTTCTCAGTCTCGCGCAGTCTCGTCTTTGACGCGTCTTGAGCCATGACGTTATGTAACGGCCATGCATCAACCTGTGCATTAGGTGGGGCCCTACGGGGACTCTAGAGGCCCCGAGAGAGGCCCCTTCTCCAAAGGCAACAACTTACTGGAGGAGGAGGAGGAGGAGGAGGAGGGGGAGGAGGAGGAGGAAGATGATATAGCTGCTGCAGAGAAGGTCGGAACGCTTCTACGCCTCCTCGCCGTCAAATTACCCGCAATTGAACGCTGCCTTCGGGGATGGGCGGAGGGGGGGGGGCCTCAGCGAGCGCCCGGCCCCCCCGCCCGTCCTCTTCCCAAAATCCACGGGGAAACTGCCCAACGCAAGCGTGGGGGGTCCGCCCCCCGCCCAGCGGGGGGCATAGGCCGCTTCATCCCCGCCTTCGGAGGGCAGCCCTTGCGGAGTCGGTTAAGCATGGCGCGCCCCGAAGGCGTCTGTACTTTCGGGCATGCATCAGCAAGCTTGCACCGCCTGCCTTTACATCCCACGATGGACGCATATCGCGCGCGCCCCCAGCGCCGCGCCAAACCATGCTGCACGGCGATAGAGTGCGAGGGGTGAACCGACTTGGTGCCAACCCAGAGGGTTCTAGCCAAGGTTGGGGAACATGAACGTGGTGGTATTGCTCGCCGAGGTCCCTCGAGGCTTCACCCCCAGGACACAAACCTGTTTGCAACCAGTCAACCACTGAAAAACGCCCAGGGGATTGGCGGCAGTGTCGCGGATCCATCGGCCATTCCCCAGGCGTCGGAGGCCGTGGCCCGATCGGACCTCGAGCTCCTGAGTTCTCGTGCGCCATCCATCCGACCCCGCCGCCCCGAACTCCCCACGGCGCGACTTATCGTCTTCGCTACAGGTCTGGGCCAGAATAGCCCCAATTCCCTGGTGCACTAAAGTGGCCCTCGCATCGATGAAATTGAGGGCATTGGTCTGGCTTCTAATCGCATCGGAGGCGGCCTCAGCTCCGCGCTGGGCCAGCGCATCCACCATCTCGTTCTCGCGAGATACTTCTACTGGTTGGCCTGTCTTTGCGTGGAAATCTACATCCAAGTGCGAAAGAACACAATTTTTGGCCCGGACACGGCCATCCCCTCAAGCTCCTAGGGCGCGCCGAATTCGGGTCCACCATCGGACCAAGGGCCCTTTAGGGGTTCTCTCCATAGCCTAGGTTTCAACCGTCGGAGACCAGCTGGCAATCCGTCCACAGGAGGACGGGCCCCGCGGTGACCTCCAGGGCCCAAAACAACGCAACCAACTCAGGAGCTGGCACAGTCTGGTCCCCATCGACGGTTCCATACAGCCCTCGGAGAGCCCCCTGGCCCACGCCCAGTTCAGCCCCCCCCCCCCCGAAAGCAGACCCCCCCATCCGACCCGACAGACGCGGGCGTCACTGGACGTGGCCGAGCCATCAAGGAAGCCCACTTGGACCTGGATGGGGGCAAGTGCTCGAGGGGGGGGGGGTCGAGGGAGGAGCCGAGGTCAGGCGGAAGGAGACCCACGGCCCGGACCTCTTGCCCAACGCCAGAGTCCCAAGCTGGGGGGGGGGGGGGGGGGGCACTGGGCCCCACTCCTGTGGGGCAATCCCCCTGGCCCAAAAACCTACGCGCCTGCCTTCACTCAAAGTCTTTCTTCGCAATCTCACACAAACCTTCCGCGCAGAGCACCCACCCGTGCTCGAGCCCGGCGTTCTGCATCCGGTCGTACAAGCGGTGGGCGATCGTGTCCTTTGCCAACTCGCAGCGCGGGCAATCATTATATATCTGGTAGCCCGCTGATTTGGCGCGCGCCTTTGTCCATGTGCTGGTCAGAGAATTCGCCTCCAGAGCCCCTGCTTCAGCTAGTCGTCCCTGGCGTCGCATGCGTCGTAGGTTTCTTCGAAGCACGTGAAGGCCCCCTCCGTCGGCGAGACCCTGTCCTGTTGCATGCGCCCCGGCCTGCTGCCACAACTCCTTGCGAATAGATGACCTGGTCGCTGTGAAGGTATCCTCGTCGTTGTTCGGGTTGCCTGCATCGCATTGCCATCCACCTCCATGATCATCTATCCATCGGTCTGGTGCTTGCGGAACCCACCCGAAGTCTCTCGGCGTAGGTATAATCGCACCCATCGGTCCAGTGGCCCATCGCCAGCGCGACCGCGCCTTCAAAAATATCAGCCGTCGGAGAACCGCAACCCATCCCTTGCACATCGGTCGTGTGGCCCAGGATGTGCTGACCAGAACTTGAACCGATGCTTCACCTGCTCCATGACCGCGCTCATCCTGGGTTCATCGTCCTGGTAATGCAACAGCATGATGGTGGCAGTGCAGCGTCCCCGGGCAGTGCGTCCAGCTAGATCAGCAGCTTGCGCGCGCCGTCGCACTACCTCCGAGGGGGAGATGCCCAAGACTGGGTCTGCATAACTGAACTTCGCTCGGGTATTGGCCTTGCACAACATGATTCCTTTAGTCCTCTTGCCGCCGTGGCCAAGTCGTCGAAGCAAGCTCGTTTGTGTCGCTCTCGCCTGCGCCACTGTCGCACAGCCCTTGGTGGAAGTGCAAGCTCGCCGGAGTCCCATCGAACAGTCCGCCCCCAGGTCCTCGGCCTGCTTCGTCTTCTTGATCCTGATGCCCGTGGCGGGGGGCGTGCTGCAATGCCAGGTTCTCGTGCTCAAGATTGGTAATCATCAGCATGGACTCTGGCGAGACCTTCAGACCCATGTCCAACATGCCCTGCACTAAAGCACTTGCCACGTGCTTCGTCTGCTCCAAGACTAACTGACCTGGCCCTTCGACTCGACTGTAAACATCGTCCACATATTGACGTATACGTGCCATAGGAGCCCTCTCGCGTGCACGTTCAAGTAGCCGATGCAGGAAGACGCGCGAACACTGGTTGGCCTTCCCGCAGCCTGGCACGATGGACCAATTGGGAATGATGGCCTCTGCGAGCGCCGTTCGCCTTCACTACGCGCGGCGCCGGGTAAGTGAGGCAGCGCCGGTAGAGTTCAACGGAAGGGAACTCTAAGTCCATGGCCTGGAAAATCATGAGCTCCAAATCCATGCGGTCGTGGAATTTTCGACATCCACCAGGAAGTTGCTCTGCTCGTTGATGCCCGCGCGCGCCCTGGTCTCATCTCATCCAGCACCATGGCGAGCACCGCGGCCTGGAGCACGTTGCTGTCCTTGACGGCGGCGTCCCAGTGCGCTGCCTTCTCATCGCACCACTCTGTCAAAGCGGTCTTCGACATTCGACCCCGGATGCGGACTGGCATGGGCAGCAGGCCGATGTCGCGCTCGTTGCCGATCCCCTGCTTGGTGCCCTTCGGGAGCAGGGCGAACCAGTTGTGAAATTATTGATGCGACCAAGTGAGGCTGTGTTCGAACATGTTCAAGAGCGTGACAGAGGCCTCCAGTCCCTGGTCGGACAGCGCCAGAACGTGGGAGGGCGCCCACTGGTCCGAACCCTTGCCCGTGGACTTTGGGAAGGACCGCAAGGCCTGCACCAGGCTGTCGCGGTCGTGGTAGGGTCGCTGCGCTAGCCCCCCGTGGGCGCGGTGACGAAGCTCACCGAGTGCAGCGCGGATCGCTGGCAATCGGTGCGACTGAAATGCGCGCCGCTCCGCCAGGCAGGCCGCTCTGATCTCAGTGGCCCCCTGCGCCGCGTCGCGCACCTCCTGCCCGGCGGCGTCCAGGCAGGTCTCCGCCAACGCCTCCTGCTCCAGCTTCTTGAGGTAGCGGTGGGCGCCCTTCATGGAGCCCTTGGTTTTGTCGATCGCCCACTTGCCGATCTCGCTGCGGGTCTGCCGCCGCGGCAGGCTGGCATGGCGCTGAGCACGGGCTTGGGCCTTCATCGCGAAATGCTGCCAATGCTGGAACTCCGTGCTGCACTGTATACGGGCACCCATGGAAATGACCGCACCATTGTCACCAAACACTCGCCACTTACCCTGTTGATCTCCTTCGTGACCCGTTGGAACTGGGCCTTCCCTGTCGCGCGGCGCCTTCAGCTTCGAGAAAATAATGGATATCGCAGTCTGAACCTGTCTTTGGTAACGAGAGTGCTTGAATCTACCCGGTGCAATCGGCTGCCCCTGGTTCCTGGCATGCAAACTAGCCCAGAGACCGCGCATCTCGTTGGCTACCGAGTGACCGTAGATGGAGTTGGT